AAAAAGAGAGCGAAGATGAGTCTTGTTTCTTGTTCAAACATCTTTCAGAGGGTAATGATAGATTTACTCAACTTCATAAAGTTGAAGGCCCAGACAAGAAAAAGCCTTAACTCAGCAAATAGAATGATGAATTAGAAGAGTAATTATCAAATTCTAAAATGAACTGAGGTACCAAGGGGAAGTCTTGTAAGATAATTAGGAGATTTTCATATGTCTTAGCTAGCTTAAGAGGGAACTGAAGCTGGGAAAGAAATTCAGCAGTTTAGAATCCTTGCTACCTATAACTGTTTTAAAACATAGAAATTATACATCCACATACACATGGACAATAGCTCCATAATAATAAAATACTCCAAAAATTAAAAAAAATGTAAGGCTATGTCAGTATTTTCTTTTAATTACAAAAGAATTAAAAGTATCTGAGATAAGAAGTCCTGCTCTATCTCATTATAACAAGACTAGTGTTTCTCTACTTAGCCCCAAACCACTTAATGCTCTGGTTCTTAATCAGAAATGAAGATCAGAATTACCAGACTGTCTAAAATTAGGCATCTGCAGAACTGGAGGAAAAGGAAGGAAAGATCTAGGTAAGAAACTGGAATGGCAAGATTAGACTTGATCCTGGTCAGGAATAGCATATATCTTATTTTTTAAAATAGGTTTTTATTGATATTTTAGAGAGAGGAGAAGGGAAAGGGATAGAAACATCAATGAGAGAGAAACATCAACATCTATCAGGTGCCTCTTGCATGCCCCTACTAGTGATCAAGCCCACAACCCAGGCATGTGCCCTGATCAGGAATCGAACTGGCTACCTCCTGATGGTATGGATCAATGCTCAACCACTGAGTCACATTGGCCAGGTAAGCATATGCATATCTTGTAAAAGCACCCTAGGAAATGATGCACATCCTTGGTTAATCTTTAAAAGATTAACATTGAACCAGGCTAATCTTCACACAATTTTAATTAGTAGCTTCTTCTAGTATTAATGGTTAAAGCCATGAGATAAATCCATTATAATCAGAAATATTTCATGAATATAAGCAACTTTACTTGTCTTATTGTATATTAGTGTTAAAAGTCAAAATTGTTCAAGTGGCAAAATAAAAGGATTACTTTACACAATTATATTTAAAAGAGACCTTCCTTTTTTGAAGGGGATTAGAGAGTAGTCATGTTCCCCACTGATTTCAGTTTAAATATAGTATTACTTTATGATAAAAACAAGTCTAAACATGTGCTTAAAAGTTTCTCCAAGCAATTTCCCCATGGGTAATTAATGTTATTTTCTGTGATTATAAGTACATACAAAATTACCTCGAAGAGTTAAGTATGAGAAACAAAACCCCTCAATAAATGTAAACTTCTCAAATTTAAAAAAACTGGAGAAGGCCCTGGCCGGAGTTGCTCGCTGGTGAGAGCAATTGCCCACGCACCAAAGTGTCACGGTTCCATTCCCAGTCAAGGGCATGTACCTGGATTGCAGGTTTGATCCCTAACCCCGGTAAGGGCACGTGCAGGAGGCAACCAATTGATGTGTCTCTCTCACATAAATGTTCTTCTTTCTCTTTCTCTTTCTGTCTCTCCCTCTTCCTCACTCCCTTCCACTCTTTCTAAAAAAATCAATGGAAAAAATATCCTCAGGTGAGGATTAACATACATACATACATATATGTAAAAGATTAAAAAAACTGAAGATGCATTAATATTTATTTCACCAAGTCATTTTGTTTAATGCACCAAAACTAAAAACTTCTCTGGAAATAAATTAGTTTTCATTCGATAAAAATTTTAAATTAAAATATAATCTTTTTATACAAATAAAGATGAAAACCTTAGAGCTCGCCTGGCCAGTGGTCTCAATGGTTGAACACTGACCTATGAACCAGGTCACTGTTCAGACACATGGGCTTGATCCCCAGTAGGGGGCATGCAGGAAGCAGCAAACTGATGATTCTCTCCCATTGATGTTTCTATCCCTTTTTCCTTCCTTCCTCTCTCCGAATCAATAAAAACATTTAAAAAAACAAAAACAAAAAAACTCAGAGCTCTCTCATCAGGAAAATTAGGTAGATGAGAAAAACTAGAACCCTGATTTTTGCCTATGACATACTGAGATAGCCCTAAATCTTCCTTAAGAAAGAGATCAACCAAGAACATGTATGCCTATATGCATAACCCATGGACACAGACAATAGGGTGGTGAGGGTCTAGGATGGGGGTGGGGGCGGGCTAGAAGAGGTTAATGGGGGATATAATGGGACATATGTAATACTTTCAACAATAAAGATTTATAATTAAAAACTAAAAAAAAGAAATATATAAAATATTCACACACAAAATTAGTTCACAGCATTAAAAAAAGCACACGAACCACACAATATACTTTTCTTTCAAAAGAAAAAATGTCACGCCCTGACCAGTTTGGCTCAGTGGCTAGAGCGTCGGCCTGTGGACTGAAGAGTCCCAGGTTCAATTCCGGTCAAGGGCATGTACCTTGGTTGCGGGCACATCCCCAGTAGGGGGTGTGCAGGAGGCAGCTGATCGATGTTTCTCTCTCATCGATGTTTCTAACTCTCTATCCCTCTCCCTTCCTCTCTGTAAAAAATCAATAAAACATATATTAAAAAAAAAGTCACAACTGCAAAAATTTGTCATAATTTCCAAAATTTTAAGAAACAATGCAACTGAGCAAATCACAGAATCCCTGCTTCTCTATAGAAGAGCTTAAAATGCATAAATAATTTAAAAATTTTTTAAATGCTGTGTGAAGTAACTAGTAAGGTGGAAAAAGTGGAATATAAGTAATTAACATTCAAGATTATAAAGAACTGTATATCAAACAAGAAAAATCTATACTATTTATATTCATAATGTTTTAAGGTTAATTTTCATCACGAATAAAGTATTCTTTTTCATTATTTTAAGAAATATAAAGAACTAGCAATGTTTTTACTTTTAGAAAAATATAAAGAAAAGGTATGAAATGCTCAACTACTAAATTAACATCTCAATTGTAAAATTTATCTGATTAAAAGTACAAATATTTTCTCTCTTTATTACATTACACAATAAAAATGACAGGTTCCAATACGCTCCAAAAAGCTTTCTGTATTTACTTTGGTTTTATACATGTAAATAATCTTTACTAAAAGCCATGTGGATCTGGCCAGAATAAATGCAATTCAGTTTCCATTTCTGGTTTTCCCCTCAATATCTAGAGAATTTCAGCAACTGATGTATGTAATCATACTTCATTTCGGCTATCAGTGATAAAAGGTATTCGGACTACCTGGATATTAGAAATATTGTAAGCATTAATAAAACCATTAAAACCCAAAAACTTCCTCACAAAATTTACTGAATCTCATTGACCGAATTTAGGCAAATACTTTTTCATATTATGAATATAAAGTGAGCTTTATCAACCACATACTCTTTAGTAATATTTGATAGGGACCAGAGCCTGTACAACTATTCTGCCTTCCATGTCTACACACAGAACTTCAGCCTTACTCTATCAATAGCCTTCTTTCCATATGAGTTTTCATTAAATAATTCAACAAATATTATTAGAATATTGACCGTGTGTGAACTACAGTGCCTAAACCCCTAAAAATGTAAGCTGTCCACATTTTTTTAAAAACATCATGAAACTTTTAGGGTTTGAATTACAATTTTAAGAACTATACCCTCTGGCCTTTATAATAGGTAACTTTCTTTGATCACTATAATATTTGAAGAAACAGAATACTGACCTGCTTGCCACCAAACCTGGACAAATGATTTGAAATGAGATCTTCCCTAGCATCTGCAATGATGGCAATCTTATAAATCATAACACTTAGGTTATTTAAAATTAAAGGTCAAAACAAAATGGGAAGAGAAAAGATATAAGCTACCAAACTCTTTTGGACCAAAAGAACCATTTTTTCTCCTCAAGTGATAGTGAATGTTTGAGTAAATGGTATCCTTCATTCATAATGATAAATTATGTTGTGTTGTTTATAAACCAAAAACTTACTCCAAGACAAGTGTGGCTGATTATAAAAAATTATATTGAGCCCTAGCTGATCTGGCTCAGTGGATAGAGCATCAACCTGTGGACTGAAGGATCCCAGGATCAATTCTAGTCAAGGGCACATGCCCAGGTTGCAGGCTCGATCCCCTGTAGGGAGCGTGCAGGAGGCAGCCAATCCACAATTCTCTCTCATCACTGATGTTTCTATTTCTCTCTCCCTCTCCCTTCCTCTCTGAAATTAATAAAAATATATTTTAAAAAATTATATTCACACAAAATAAGATTAATATTAATCAACACTAAAGTTTTAACTTCGAATTTCTACATAAAAATTTCAAAGCATACATATTGAAATGTAATGTACAAATAAGATAACTGACTACCTTAGTTTAAACACCCAAGATACTTATGCTATTCATTTTTCAGGTTTTCTGAAAATTTTATTAGACATACTACAATAATTAATTTACACTATTTTTGTCCCATTAACATTACTAAAGTAAAAGAAATTCCTGTGCCCAGTTCTATTAAAACTGTATTTGTGCCGAAACCGGTTTGGCTCAGTGGATAGAGCGTCGGCCTGCGGACTGAAGGGTCCCAGGTTCGATTCTGGTCAAGGGCATGTACCTGGGTTGCGGTCACATCCCCAGTGGGAGATGTGCTGGAGGCAGCTGATCGATGTTTCTCTCTCATCGATGTTTCTGACTCTCTATCTCTCTCACTTTCTCTCTGTAAAAAATCAATAAAATATATTTTTAAAAAAACACAAAATTGTATTTGTACCCAGCATGGCTCAGTGGTTGAACGTCGATTTATGAATCAGAAGGTCACAGTTCAATTCCTGGTCAGGGCACATGCCCAGGTTTCGGCTTGATCCCCAGTAAGGGGTGTGCAGGCGGCAGACAATCAATGATTCTCTCTCATCATTGATATTTCTCTTTCTTTCTCTCTCTCTCTCTCTCTCTCTCTCTCTCTCTCTCTCTCTCTCTCTCTCTCTCTCCCCCTTCCTCTCTGAAATCAATAAAAATGTAGTTTTAAAAAAAAAGAAAAAGAAAAAGGAGGAGAGAAGATAGCAGAGAGCACCCAGTAGAGGAATGGATCTCAGAAAGGCATCCCAAGAAAAATAATCTAATCAGCATCACTTAACAGATTCAGAGAACAAGAGAAAGGCCTTACCTTCAAAGAGTTATAATCTACTATACTGGGGCAGGAGGACAATGCAAAGGGTAAAAAATTTAAGTAATTACAAATTGCTCTATGAACTCTCATACCTAAAGGGTATCAATTGTATTCTGGTTCAATACAATAACCAAGGTACGTAAAGTTGAGTACAGGTCATTAAAAATAACATATTTTGTCTGACGCAACAAAATTTTGGAAATCTTTCTTTGAAAAAATTGCTTAAAATGTAAAGTTTTGACAAAGTTATAACATGTCTGATATCCAAAAAAGTAAAGTATGCTGGAAAGCTTCATTTCTTATGATGCTGGATAAATCAATTATTGTAGTCGCAGATAACAAAAGATGCAAGTAAGGTAATGCCCAAAAATGTATATACATAATTCAACTGTTAAAATTTTGCATCCAGAAAAGCCTGGGAAATGTAGCTAAGCCCCTTAAAAAAAAAGGAAGTTTAGATTTTGGTAGACCATCATCACTGGAGGAGCTTGCAATTTCCAGACTTGTCCATAACAACTTCCCACTCATCTTCTTCCATGCTTTCCCCCTTCCAGAAGACTGGAGAGATACCTAGAAGCGACTTCACCTAGACCCCTAAGTGACTATGTGGAGGAGTGCATCCCAGACAACTGAACACTTGCCTGGACCGTTACAAAGCAAGAAATAAATTTGTCCTGTGAAGTCATTACATTTTGGATCTATTTGTTTCAACATCACAAACAGTGGGCAATAAGATTATAGTCCATACAAAATTATGGCTTAGACAGCAGTTTGATGACTATAATTAATACTACTATCTTATTCATTTTACTGTTTTCTAAAAAATACAAAGCCCCACAATGGGACATTCAGTTAGTAGTTTCAATTTATAGGAATATCAACCTAAAATCTGGAAAACCACATCTAAAATATGGAAAGATGTTTATGAAATAGTAAGAAAATATCTCACTTCAGACATATCAATATGCAAGAGATTAATGACTAAAAAAAAAAAAAATCCCAGAAGTAAACATTATCACCATATAAACATGCAGTCCTCATCTGAATATTCATGGTAGGTTTTACATGTTTGTGTGCACTAGGTCTTAAAAGGGATACATCTCTTAATTCCTCTCCTTTCACTCAGACCCTTCCCACATTCCCTACTCAGGGTAACTGCACATCTGAAAGGCAAAAGGAGTAAGAAAAACAGATGACTTTCATATATGAATATGACCAAACTGAGAAGAATCAAATTCAAGAAACAGAAAAGGCTGCCACCATTGAGTTTATTCCTACAGAATTAAAGGACCCTTCGTAGACATGTTACACACAGCACAGTACTTTTACTTACACAAACACTGAGTAGCTACAATGCACTAGATACCATTAGTATCAAATGGTTAAAGAAAAAAATGAACCCTGGAGCTCTTAAATTATTTGAATAAAAGGAAAGAAAAAGACTGACTTCTAACTCTCCACCTCCAGGAAAGAATCAGGAATGTGCTCTCTCTGCCTCTCAGTTAATCCAAAACCACTGTAACACTCTGAGTTACTGCAGACTCTAATCTTATACTATGGAAACAAAACTCCCCTCATTTCCATCTAGGATGCAAAGGCAGCCTTGATAGGATTTCCAATTTACAAAGGAAGTCCATATGCCTTTGAAATCCTTTTAAAGTCTAAAACAAAAATCAAACTCTTCTCTTTTTGTTACCTCTCATCACTGTCTTCTTTTCTGTCTCCTTTTAGTGTACCTCTCTCCTATAGATCAATGTATCACAAAACAAGAGAATTTTAGATTAGAAAGACTTAAAATCATCTCATATTATATTATAGAAATAAAGATGCTAAAACATGGTGATCAAAGGGTATCCCAAATGCCACAGCTACTTTAGTAGAAAAACTGGTACCATATTCTAAAGGCACTGGAGCCCAATGAAAGTGGCTCAAGAGCAGCAATAACATCGCTGCAGGTGTACACTATTGAACCTATAGTCAAAGAGAGCCCTAGCCACTCCTATCTAGCCCCTAACCCTTAACTAAGGGACAAGTTAGCCAATATATGAGATTTAAACAGGTAGTCCACAAGAGGATCTCTCAAACCTAGCAGAACACATTAACCAAGGATTTCTCAACCAGTAAACAGTACCTACTGGGAACTATTTAAGCCTTACCTGACAGGTCTCCAAGTCAGATGCAGCAGCCACATACCTCTCTGTACCATTAACGTCTTGCCTCAGTTTCTTGAAATTCCCAACTGGGAAAGAAATACAGCCAGCAAGTACTCCCAAGCCAGTTATGACTCTACATTTCAACTGTTAGTAACCTTCCTTGGGACATCAACATCTATATCCATATACATGCATACACAGAGCAGCCCCCATCTAGGATAAGCTCAACATTACAGGGTAGTGAAAAGGCCCTCTTCACAAAACCTCAAGGGTCCCAGATCTTAACTATAAATTTTTATTTTGTTTTTTAATGTAGAAAGCAATTCCCAATAAGAAAACCTGGAAAGGTTTGAGTGATTCTGCTGAATATACCTGAAAAACAAAGTAGTTACAAAAAATGGAAACATGCAATTTAAACATAATACTTACAAATATTTTAACTGGTTTTAAGAATGTTTTAGCACTTCAAAACACAGAGACTCTAGTTCTGATGCAGTTAAACTTTCAACAGGATTGTTTCTGTTCCTTATATGACTATTCATCTCTTGAACATTTGCATTTTCTAGAAGTTCATCAAAGATGCTTACTGAATCATTCAAAATCACTGTACTTAAGAGAAACCCACCAATTAAAACATTTTTTCCAAAACAGAAAAGAAACTAGTTTGTACAAGGTAAGAAATGAAAAGATCCCTTTTTCTTAAGGAATTTGTAATATACTCAAGAAATCCAGACTGATATTTCAAACAATTAGAACATTTTAATGTTAAACTAACTCTGCTGCTATTACGTGTCAAAATAATTCAGAGAAATCAGCTGAAACTGAAATATCAAAATACTATGATAGAACTACTTGACAGTCCCACAGAATTTGTAGACTTTTGAAAAATAAATATAATCCAGTAGACTTTTGAAAAATAATTAAATCTGTTTAGTTACATCCTATAAAACATGATAATGTTTAAGAATTACATAATTATTTTTACAATTCTTACTTTCAGTAATTATACCATTTAGTGAAACATAAAGCAATCTAAAATGATAGCTTAAGAAATTTTTATGCCCTTAGTGATTTTAATGTAGAGACTAAGATACACTTTAAATATGAACTTATCGATATTCACCATCGATAAGACTGTTAACATAGTGTCCTATTTTCCTAATGGTATGTACACTCCTTAGCTGGATATCAGAGTAGTGATACAGTGAGATAGAAAGGTCTGTAGTTTTAATTTTATCCACCTAGTGTTCCAGCCATTATGACTTATAACACTTCATGATTTTTTACCTATACAGTTTGTTAATTTTAGCAATTATTTTTTTAGTCTGTTCTCTCTCTTGTTTTTCAGTCATACAAACAGATCAATTACATGGACACACACATACAAACAACTAACCTAAAAAATAATAATAATTGAAAGGACTATCATGCAGAAATGATTTTTATTTATTCCATTCAATACAAAGAAAAAGAATTAGGACTAGTAGGTAAAAGACAAGAGAGAGTTTAATTCAAATACAGTGTAATTTTCTATTTTATTCAAACTATAAAAATGTACACTGGACTGCCATGTACATTCTATAAATAACAAAGCACAAGCTAGATTATAATCTTTCAAGAATGCCACCTCTAAATTGGCACAAGGCTGAACTATGTAAACCCCAAAGGTTCCACCTGGATCAATAACCAATATTAGATTACCACATAAGCCAACTACTATGCAATTGAATTGAATTAAGCCTCCATTGTATTAATCTATGATATGAAATGCTATAGAGCTAATGAATCATAAAACTTTATTTTTTAGCATTGAACTTTAGAGGTAAAAGAAATCTCCTAATCCAAACCTTTCAATAGTACAAATAAATAATTCTATTTTAAATAATGTATTATATACAGTTTAATACTTCAATATTTTTAAACAAGAATAATGAATATAAATTTTCCCTTTTTACTATACCTTGAACAAGCCAAAAAAATATATTAAGGAATATTAGCCAATTTTACCCATCAATCAGGTACCCTCAGGAATACATAAGAAATGACTCATTATTTCAAAATCTGGATCTAAAAGCATAATAAATGAATACAATTATTTAATAATTTTAAGTTTAGTATAAATAAATGCTTTTCCCCAAATCAATCATCTGAGATTTGCCATAATAATTTACAATAAAGTGTATCAATGGTCCAAATATCTGTACCATCCTTATCTTGAAAGAACAAAGTCACTTACAGCTCTTTCATTTATGAATCAATGATGGCATTTTCAAGTCCAAGAACTCCCCTCTGCCCCTCACAAGTGTCCACACACAATTAAGCAGAACAAGAGATGCTCAATTCCTGAGTCAAAATTGCACATTAAGCTGCCAGATGATATATCATATACCATCCAGAACTGTATGCTCCTATTACTACCTCTCTTAAGCACTTTCAAATAGACTGTGGCTAATTTTGAGGTAATTACAGCACATTAAGACTTAGTTTACTAAGTCTACTACCAAATCAAAACACTCTTAGGAAAAATTCTGATTAAGAAAAACTTTCAGCAAATGGTTCTCATGATAAAATTATTTTCATGGCACAAAAAAATTAAAGCATAAACTATTATTTCATATACTTAGTATAATCATTTTCATTCTTAAAAATCTATTCAAAAACTGTTTGCCTAAAGCAAAGGCTATTAGAAAAATATATCTTTAGATTTATGCATTACTCTAAAAGTACTCTTACTATAACATGCTCTGGAAATATACTAAAATAAATTTTGCTAAGTCTGTGTTAAACCAGTGCTTCTTAACTTTTGAACATCAGGATAATATAAGCTGTGACCAGAGAAAAGTACCCAAGTTAAATGCCATATCACATACTCACATAAAAACTACCTTAATAGAAGATATTTAAGATTTTGCTACTGTTCTTAGGTTAAATGTGCATAGAACAAGTAAACTATAAATCCTTGATTTCTTAAACTAAAATAGAATAAAATGGTTGTGTATACAATTCAATGGAAACACAACATGGACTCCATATTTTTAATACTTCTAAATACTTTTAAGTCTAATTAGCTATAAATAAATTAAAATAACTTTTACTTAAAGTTTCACTTGTTGCATTGAAACTTTTTTTAAAATATGAATCATTTTAAAAGTGACCAAAACAAGTTTTTCAAAAAGAGACTTGATTCGCTCAGGATCTACTATGTTCCCGGAATTGTGCTTTTGTTTCTTACAATTTGAGGAAATTCTGAATCTTAATATCTACTGAACTTTGTTCAAATATGTTTACATTGTGGTCAGGAGATATATTTAAGTATGCATTTTTTCATAGATAATAAAAATGACATTATTCTAGTTTACTTTGAATGTCAAAATATTTAAGCCTTAATTTATATATATTTTAGAAAAACAATAGTTTGATATATTTTCAAGGATAATAATCTGGACTAGAAGTTGAAAAAAAGAAAATGAAACTTTATAACAAAATTATCAATAGGTTATACCTATAGTAGACAAGAAGCACTAATGATAAATTAAATCATCACTAAGGTAAACTTTGACCTCTTTTATTCTACAACAATAAAGTAGAAATTTTATAACCTTTCCTAGGCCTTGGAAAAAATAGCATTTGTGGGTAAAAAGTAATGGAAGACATTGCAGGGGGGTGGGGGGGATAAAATGGTTTCCTGAAAGTCAGTCAGACTTAATTTTTAGTTTGCTCATCTCCAGAGAGTCTTAAAGTGTTAAGCCATTAACTAAAAGAATTACGAAGAAATAATAAGTGCAAAACAATTCATCATTCCAGTATTTTTGGAAAATGTTTTAGCTTAGTTGATTCTCATTTTAATGAAGAACAATTTTTAAATAACATGTATAAAAATTTTAGGAATGTATTTAATATGATACACTGACTGACTTCCAATGGTTCCAGACAGTAATTACTCTCATGAATAGGAAGTAAAGGACCATTTTAACATTAGAACTATGTAGAAAAATAAGTAGTTTCTCACCTAATTTAATTTTTAAATTAATTAATTTCATCCCAAATTTAGGTTACAATACCTCCGGGGGCCAATGAGACACCTACCTACACACAATACCTATTAAAACACTTAAATACCACAGCATTATAAATTTTTAAAACTAAACATTTTCAAGATCTAAAATTGTCTTTGACATTTTTAACTCCCCCAATATTTATAAAGCCTATTTTTTAATGGTAAGCTTGAACAAGTCTGATCAAAGATACGAACAAAATGTTAATTTCTGAAACAAGGGAAGATATATTGTTATGCCAAAATAAACTGGTACTTAATTACAAAAGCCAACTAACTGGCATATGGATACCATTACTGTGGGTGCTTTATATACACTGCTCAGAAATTTGGACAATCTCTAAGAAATTTTAGATGTATAGCTGACATGGAGATTATGCTCATGTACACAATGTGACCACACCTCAATGCGAGAAAAATCATAGTAGCATATTACTTACAAGTAAAACCTTTAGGCTATCAGGAATATTCAATTCTGACACTGCTTTCTAGAGAAGGGAAAGTGTTTACAAATTTAACTAAACCTGAGGGTAGAAGAAAAGGTAAGGGGACAAGTGAGGGAAAAGGGGCTGAAAAGAAGAGGGAGATGAGTGGAGAGAAAGAGTGGGAGAGAAAGGTAGGGGAAGGAGGCACTGATAAAAATCCTTGGCAGCACAAGGTTATTTAGCCTGAGTACATTTGATATTTTACATGCTAAACCAGATATTCTGTTCCATAAAGTTATCATTACCTTCCCTCATTCTTCCCCAAAAGGTCCTTGATTCCTTATCAGTATAAAAACCAATGATTTCTCTTAATAATTTGGTTAAGCCCTGGAGGCAGTACTAATTCCAGGCTGATCCAGCTAGATAGTCTGGCTTCATTAAGTGAGCATTTATTTCATTCTGTTTCTGTTTTTTGAAACATTCAAGACCAAGTGATGATTGTCCAGTACAGGTTCTAGAAACATAATCTGTGTGGGGAGCTCAAACATTTTACAGACACAAGATAACCTGCTCAGCACTTACGATAAATTCAATATAATTTTGCATACCTTACTTTTCTAAGATACACCGCAGTAGAGATGGGTGATGTTAATTATCTAAGAAATTTTTCTTATTTTTATTATAATAAATGCTTATGTCACGGACTAGAAGGCATACTTTGAATGAATTATTAAGATAAAACAGAGAACTTAAAAAAAAAAAAATAGAGTTCTCAAAGGGTCACTATGAACCATGCCTCAGAACCCCTAAGTGCATTTGTTCAAATTATTCTATCATTATAGGTAAACTTGAGAGAAAATGACTGAGAAATATTGTTTTGCCTACCTCAGTGACCCCTAATACATTCTTTCCTACTATTTATTCTACTATTGTTTATAATAC